AGCACCTCACCTCAGTAACCCCTGGTATCTATAGCACCTCACCTCAGTAACCCCTGGTATCTACAGCACCTTACCTCAGTAATAGTTTTACTCATTCTTGCTTTAGCGTGAGCTGTTGAGAGGCGGATCAAGGTTTCCAGTGTTCTTGCTGTTACAGGGGTAGTCTATAGATAATGCAAAGACAAACTATTTAATATTAAATGTTTTTTGACATAAATGATTTCTGGGTAGCATGAGTGGCATGCGCTACTATTGCACTGTCTCTCATTCCGGTGTAGTTTAAGCATGGGTCAATTCACAACTGAGCTGCATTTGAGTTGAGCTTGTTCGATTTGTTGTTCTCTCCCTTGTCATGTGGGTTTTTCTCTGCATTCTCCATTTTTCGTCCGTCCATAAAAATAAACATTTGAGTGTTGTGTGCTGTAAATAATGAATGTGGTATAAACACGTCATTCTGTTGAGTATTTCTTTGTTTGATAGTTTCATATGAGAAGACACATGAATATGGATACCCTTTAAACAAAGAATCATTCATAAGGGAATGAAACATAGTCTGAAATGGTTAAAACATTATGCCTAAGTAATTTTGATCCATTGAGTGTTGAGCAACCCTCATGCAAGAACTCTTACTGGTAGTGATAGTTGTAAAATACAAGTCAAAATATGTTAAAATGGTTTTTTTTTACAACTTGCTAATTAATTATTTTGTCGCGTGCTTATTGGCTAATTTTAATCCTCAATAAGAAGACAATAAGATAAAGCTGACGTCAACAAGTGCACGCTCTTTTCATTAGTTGTTTCAATCAGAAAAAATAAGAAATTTTTATCATTTGTTATTGTAAAAAACAAATAGACATCAGTTTTTTATGGGTCTGTCCACTTATTGACGATAAATTACGTCATCACATTGTAAGAGGACAGTCACATAAGAAAATGATGTCAATTTGTGAAATCTATGTTTATATAAGATACTATGCTTCCATCAGGATATTGCAGCAGTACGGTGGTTTTGTTCAAGGGCTCTCCTCAGACTGCTCGCCACTCCCAAAGCAACACAAATTTAATCTCAAACTCAGATCTTTAGATCATGGGTGAACGCTAAACTAACCTTTGCCCTTTCGTTGGACACATTTTCTTGATCCCTTAATTCTGAGTAGGCTTTGGATATCTTATCAGCAGCTTCTTTTGTCAAGGCAGGCTGAAAAAATGTATTACATGTCAAAGTAGGTCATATTTGACATATGAAGGTATATGAAGATCGCATGACAAAGATTGCTCATTCTTAATAGACCTTATTTGTGGTGTGATAATGTTTTCCCAATTCAGCGTGACAAACCTCCAGGGGATTCATTTTCTTTTGTTTTTACTCATCGAAAAATTCATGAGTATCCCAAAGGATATGAAAGAAATAACGATGATATCACGATGAGTTTCAAAACAATAGCTCTTCATTCCCCCAGAGGTATGTCACGCTGAATTGGGAAAACATTGTCACACCACGAGTAAGGTCTATTCCAATACAAACACAGTCTGACGATCAACACTGAAGCAGAGCATGTCTATACGTTCAAGCGATTGACCATCAGTGCACATACACATACCTTAATGGCTTTAGCAACATGGATATACTTCTTCATAAATGCAAGTGAAATAAATTTGTCATTCTTAGACTTGCGTGGACCATATAACATGGGGTCATGCTTCTCAAATATGGGTGTATCCTCGTCTTCTTCTTCAGCTTCTGGGTCTCGGGTAGACAGGATGTCTGATGCTTCTCCAAATGGAAGAGCTTTAAAAAAATATAACAGAATTTCTCAGGTATTTGATATACAAATGATACTTATTCATTTGTCTCATGATTGAGGGTCATTTTGAGGTCATTACCCTCAATCGTGAGACAAGTGAAAATCATTTATATCATTTATTAGTTTTCCATAATGAATAATATTCTTCATTCTATTTGATATACAGTCAATGTCATTAACGTTGTCCACCGAAAACAGACATTTACACATTTACACATTTAGACATCTAAAAGAAATGTCACGTGTTTCATTATGTATTCTTTGCCTTGTGTGCGTCAGCCTGAACTTTAAATTTAAAATTCAATTCGTCAATGGAAAATCCAGAATGCCTCGACCATTTAGTGAGAATTTAAGATGGAGAATGGTATTTCAGCGTTTGTTTTATGCCAGAACATTCGAGGAAACACGTAATAGTATTTCTTTTAGTCTATATGTCTATATGTCTAAGTACTGTTTAATAAACGAGCAGGAGTGTTTTATCGGGTATAAAACACGAGGCGTAGCCGAGTGGTTTTAGACCCGATAAAACACGATCTGCGAGTTTATTGAACGGCTTAGAAAACTCATGATGTATGTTCTCATATGGTACAGAATTCTTTACGAAATGAACCAAGCTCGATAGAGAAAATCCAAGTTAAAGTTTATGCAAATGAAGACGAATCTATATCCGATATAAAATCACCTTCATGCTCATGATTTCTATTGTGTTTTCCTCATGAATTATTAATGAGTTTTCTAAATGTCTTTAGAAAACTCATTAATAATTCATGAAGAAAACACAATAGAAATCATGACCATGAAGGTGATTTTATATCGGATAAAGATTCGTCTTCATTTGCATAAACTTTAACTTGGATTTTCTCTATCAAACTTGGTTCATTTCGTAAAAAAATCGGTACACAATGAGAACAAACATCATAAGTTTTCTAAGCCGTTCAATAATCTCACAGATCGTGTTTTATCGGGTCTAAAACCACTCGGCTGCGCCTCGTGTTTTATACCCAATAAAACACTCCTGCTCGTTTATTAAACATTACATATGTCTAAATGTTTAAATGTGTAAATGTCTATATGTCTAAATGTTTAAATGTGTAAATGTCTTTTATCGGTGGACAACGTTAATGACATTGACTGTATGTTATGCTGTTCACTACAATACTGTCTCTTGTGGCATCTATTAAAGAAACAAGCTAGATTTGCAGCATACAGCTATTTCAAAAAAACACTAAAGGGGGTGTAATAATGATAGATAATAACTATTCTACATAACTTATTACCTTCCCCCTCTTGTTCGCCAGGCTTTCTGAACCTGTGAATTCGCAAGACATGTTCAGAAATYCTTCTGTCATTGTCAGGGTCCATCTGTAGTAATAACATAGGTTTATTTATTACCTTGAATGATCAATATGTCTTAATCCTAATCGGGTCTCATATGAAGCCAAGCCTACACTCAAAGCCATGCCCGCACACACAGTCACACCCACACAAAAAATTAACACCCTTGCTCAAATCTAAATCCCCTCTCACACAAAGCCACCCCAACACACAAAGCCACCCCAACACACAAAGTCATGCCTTTGAAGAGTGTCAAGCCTACACTCAAAGCCATGCCCACACACACAGTCACACCCACACAAAAATTTAACACCATTGCTAAAATCCAAATTCACTCTCACCCCTACAAACAAAGTCATTCCTTTGAAGAGTGTCAAGCCTACACTCAAAGCCATGCCCACACACACAATCACTCCCACACAAAAAATTAACACCCTTGCTCTAATCCAAATCCACTCACACATAGCCACCCCTACAAACAAAGTCATGCCTGTGAAGAGTGTCTCCATACCTGATCCAAGACAATAAACAGCAAGTCAAAACGGGACAGCAAAGAATCCTGCATGCCAATGTTATCCATGGGATTCTTGTATTCGTCATACTGAAAAACACAACCCATGCGTGTTGAGTTACATCATCACACGACGGCTAGGAATCAATATTTTAATAACTTCTTCATACACCCCTTCCAAGTGTTGTTTTAAACACATGACAGAGTGTGTCCCCAATACATGTTCCTTATTCATACACCCCATCCAAGTGATATTATATTCTAGTATCTTACCCTTCCATATACAGGGTTAGCGGCAGCAAGCACACTACACCTAGCGTTCAGCTTGGCATGGATTCCAGCCTTGGCAATAGTAACACGGCCTTGTTCCATCACCTCATGGATCGCTGTCCTGTCAATGTCACTCATCTGAATTACATATAAAGAATATTCCATTATGATCAAATCCTGGTTGATCTAAGTTAGGTCATCCAGTTGTACCTTGTCAAACTCATCAATGCAAACCACACCCCTGTCGGCAAGCACCATGGCTCCTGCTTCAAGATGACGGTCACCTGTCAATCAAAACAAAAAATATAACTATCCTTCATTTTGGATTACCCAGCAAAAATTTCCCTTGAAAATACCAATCCTCAACAGGCCCTTCCCAACCCTTGGAAATTCCAATCCCCCTCCATGGGGGATGTATGGATATTTTCTGGTACTACACAATATACCCTCCTCAGACCCTTCCCACCGCTGGGAAATTCCCATCCCCCTCCATGCGGGAGGTATGGATATTTTATGGTACTACACAATATACCCTCCTCAGACCATCTCCACCCCAGGGAAATTCCAATCCCCCTCCATGGGAGAGGTATGGATATTTTCTGGTACTACACAATATACCCTCCTCAGACCCTCCCAACCCTTTGGAAATTCC